TCTGAGGTCCTACAAATGACAGGATTGTGACTCTAGACTTGTTTTACATATTGCCTTGTTAAAAGTGGATACTTAAGGGGGCTGGAGAGGTGGCTCAGTGCTGCTCCTGCAGAGAAACTGGGTTCAGTTCCCAGCACCCACACGGCAGCTGACAACTGTCTGTACCTCCAGTTCCAGGGGATCCGACTCCCTGTCCTGTGGCTACTACACCCTGGTGGTCCATACACCCACCAGCAAATACTCAAATACACAAAATAAAAATAAGTCTTTAAAATGTAGATAGCTTTGGAAAGACAGTTATAACATTTTCTTACACATTTAGATACTCTATACCTATCTGTATATGCCTCTATGGTATTGAGTTATAAGTGCATTCTATAATTTTGTTATTGTTGTTTTGAGACATTTCACTATGCAGCTCAGGCTAGCCTCGAATTTTTGCTTCAGCCTCCTGAGTGTTGAGATGCCGGGCGGTGAATCCCTCCTGTGTATTGGGGAGACACCCCTCAGGAGTACTTGTGTGTGTCTACATTATATATAACTGTGACTTACCTCACCCTGTGCTCTAATGCAAATGGATCCCTACTTCGAAATTTGTGGCCTAACTCATTCCTCTGGTCAGTATCAAGAACTTGGCCAGATATTTGGAATAAGATAATGAGCAAGAAGGCAAGGTCTAAGAACTTGATGACAGAGAGTGGGAGACAGCAAAGCCATAAGGAAGCGAGGAAGAAAAATAGCCACAGATTGTGAAAAGAGTCACAGACAGAAGGGTGTGGCGTGGGAACAGTCATGGACTAGTGCAGTCTTTGTTACAGTGCACCACTACTAATATCTCTTCTCAGCTCTTCAACCCCCCTCTGAGGACTAGACGAGAATCTTGTAAAAGAAAATTTTGTCCTTTAAATAAAATTTTAAGGGGAAATGAATGTATTGTAAGACATTTAAAAAATATAAATAGAAACTTGTTTTATAATACTCCTAAGAAATCTGAAGCAAAAAAAGTAAAAAACACAAATCCAAATAATAGTAACTAGTGGTAGATATGCCAGGTGAGGTAAGAGAAATGACACCTTGGATGGATCAATAGAACTTCTACTATTTACCTACAGGGTCAGAGAGGTCCCAGTAATACTTAGGTAAGAGTTTGTGGTGTCATTTACAATAATCACACATAAATGTGTACAATTGTGTGACAATTAAGAGTAAAACAGGGCTGTGTATCTAGCCCAATGCCAGAAGCCTATCAAGGAAAAGCCCCTGAGTGTGGTCCCCAGCTCCACAAATATGAAATAAAATAAAACAAAAGCCACACTGGTGCCACATGCCTCAAATCCTAGTGCCCAGGAGGCAGAGGCAGAAGAGCTGTGAGCTTGAAGCTAGATTGGGCCACACAGCAGGACCCTGTCTCAAAACATGTTAGTTAATTAATGCAACAAAACAAAACTGATATAGTGTGCAATCTCAGAATTTCAGAGGTTGAGGCAAGAAAACCACAAGTTCAAGGCCTGCTAGTCTATAGTGCAGGGCCCTGACTCAAAACCAACCCACCCACCATCCAACCTAAAAAGAGAAGGAATTCCTATACAGAGAGAACAGTCTGGTGCCAGCTCCACCAGCTCCCTGTACCCAAATGTAGTGTCGCTCTCTCCAGTCCCATAGCCGGGAATCAGAATACAACGTCCGTGAGGCTTGGGGAAGGGATACTACAGAAGCATCTTCATGGCCAACAAAGAGAAGTGGACAGGATTAGCCCAAGTGAGAGGACAAGGGGAGTCCAGAATGCCAGCAGCACCTCTCCCTCTGGAGGGGGTGGTCCTGGGTCTTCATTCCCTTTCCCCACTCTGGAATCCTTGAGGAGCTTTGAGAAAAACCTCAACTCCCTCCCAGTGAGGACCCTGCCCCTTAGCTCACGACATCAGGGATTCCTGTACAAGATGCTGTTCTAATCTGCACCAAGATTTTGCATTTACCTGTGACCAAATGGGTCAGGAGAATAATTATCACAAGAGTAGGTAATGGGGACTTCATGGCTCCTCTCAGTGGGCAGTAGGTTCTATGGAGTCCAGGACTCTCAGGCAGTATGACTCTGAGCACAGATCTGTATTGTCACCTTAGGAGGAAGTTGGGCTCAACCAGTAGAACAGGAGAATATAGGCGACTGTGTCAACCATGACTTCAGTCTATTGGCCAAGCGGCTCTGATTGAGAGAACACTACCCAGAGCCCTGCACTAGGTATGCCTTCAGGGCAGAAGGGTGGCTTAGAGGTGTGAGCCCTGTTAAGTACAGGGCAATTTACGGATAGGGAAGAATTGCAGCAAACATTTATATGACTCCCTGGAGGCTGGAGACTCACATCTGTGCTTTTCCAAGCCACATGTGTTAGCAGAGGGCCTACTTCAGTGCAGGGCATGCTACCTTCTCACCTGTGCGCAAGTTCTCCTGAAACACCGAGTCAGCCAGATGTTTACATGCGTCGTGCTTTTCTGCACATAAGTTCTGCATCACCTTATGCATCTATACACACACACACACACACACACACACACACACACGATTCTTTACCGAATTCTTTTCAGAGAAGAATCTACGTTATTGTTTATTAATTGAACAAGTTACTACTTTGCTGATAATCTGGGAACTCAGAAAGCCTTCTAAAATTAAAGTTTATTTACAAATATTTGTTTACTTAATATTGTGTGTGTGTGTGCGCGCGCGCGTGCATGTGTGCCTGAGTGTATGCATGTGCACCACATGAGTGAAGGAAGGGGCTGCAGAAGTCAGGAGGGTGTCAAGTGAGCCAACATGTGTGGCTTCTGGGAATTGAACCCAGGTCTTCTGCAGTAGCAGCAAGCACTTTGAACTGCTGAACCATCTCTAGCATTATCATTATTGTGTGCATACAATGTATGTGTGTATAATATGACAGGGTGCCATGACCCACATGTGCAGGTCAGAGCACAAGTTTTGGGGGTTGACTCTCTCCTTTGACCGTAGGACCTAAGGGTTTGAATGCAGCTCATCAGGCCTGTGTCGCAAGTGCTTTCACATGCTGGGCCATTTTTGCAGCCCCAGAAAAATCTTTTTATTTTTATTTTTATTTTTAATATGAGTGAATCAGCAAGTAGCTATTGCAGTTCAAACATGCCTTGAAGTTTGCATCTGTGTCCCTAGTCTTCAGCTTCCCAAGGCAAGGTGTGTCCCTTGCTCAGTATCAGGCTTTTATTTAAAAAGGGCATGGCAGATTTCTGTCTTTGTAAACATGTTTCTGAGAGAAAAGGCAACATTTTGAAACTAGTTGGATGTGTGTAGAAGATGGAATGAGTCTGGATGAGAAAAAGAATTAACTAATGCACTTCAAGGCACATGTCATTGTTTTACTATGGCAATGGCCATGCCACTTTGATCTTGTCCAGTCATGCCTCGGTGTTTTCTCTTCATGGGAGGAGCAGCCAAAGGGAATCTTATTTGTGTTGGTAAAGACGTTTGTGTGGTGAACTGGATCGTGACTGGAAGTGGCTAGGTCCTATAGAAGTTGTTCTGAAGTTTCTTGATTTCTTTTTAACATGATTTTTTATTGATTCTTTGGGAATTTTATATCACATACTCCAATCTCACCTACTTTCCAGTCCCTCCATATTTACTGTTCACCCTTGTATCAACCCCACAAGGAAAATTTAAAAAGAGATAAAAATAAAAAAATACAAGTAAAAAATAATTAAAACAAACAAAAAACCGAAACAGAACAAAAAAGTAAACAAACTTTGCCCCTCATCTTTCCTGCCTCTCCCTCACCTCTTCATTTGTCCTAGTGGCGGTGGGAGCTTCAGTGTGCCATGCAGCAGACCCTTTTGTCCAAACAACTTTACTTGCAAATGTTCATTGTGTAATGAGTTGTTGGCCAGGTTCAAGGCCTCTGACTTCTGGTACACCATCAATACTGGACCCTCACCACATCTTTCCTGGGATAGCCTGATATTTGTTGCCCTGAGTCATGAAGACTATGGTTCCAGATCATTCCCTTCACTCCCTCCAGCAGGTCATAGATGGGGTAGATGTCAGGACCATCTTAAAGCCCTGGATGTATGCCTGGGTGGTAGCTGAGTCTGTCAGCCAGGGCCTCTGGGGTCACCTTCCTAGGGTGAGAGGTGGAGCCATTGAAGAGCCCATAAGACACCAGCACTGCCCCAGGTGGTGGTCCAGACTCCGGAGCATCTGCATGCCTCCCCATGGCAACAGGCCCCACAGACACCAACAAAGCCCCTGGCCGCAGTAGAGCAATGGACCCAGACCTGGCCCTCGGTTGCAGCTTGGGCCCAGATGTCACCTTGGCCTCGGACAGCAGCACAGGGCACTCAGATCAGCTTTTTTTTTTTGTAATTCAGATGATTTATTTCTTTCAGGAATTAGAATATGTCATTCCATTCTCTCCCAACCTCTATTATTTTCTTCTCTGATAAAATCTATTGTTTCTCTAATGGAGATATCCTTAACTACGTCTTGGTGCTTTTGTTTTTATAAATTTAAAACCCTTTTCTGTTTAATGTACTTTTGGCAGTTTGGCTATAATAAGCTGTGGGGAAAATATTTTGTGCTCATGACTAGTTAGTGTTTTATAAACCTCTTGCCCAGGTGTAATGTTTAGTTTAAGTTGTCAGTTTGGCATAATCTAGAATCACTTGGAAAGAGAGTTATGTCCACTCAATTAGCCTGTGGACATGTCTGTTGGGAATTGTCTCAATAAAGTTAGTTGATGTGGGAAGACTCAGCCCACTGTGGGCAGCGCCACTCCCTAGGCAAGATGCCCAGAACTGTATAAATGGAGAAATGATCTGACCACTAGTAAGCAAGTGAGTGATTTTGTGTGAATTAATTTCTCTGTGCTCTTGACTGTGGGTATGTTGTTTGAAGTTTTTGCCTTGACTTTCTTACAATGATTGAATGTAACTGGAGCTGTAAGCTGAAATAAGTCCCTCTCCCATTGTTTGCTGTCTTCTAGGGTATTTTATCTCAGCAACAGAAATGGAACTAGGGTATTCTGATGGCTAATCTTAGCTGTCAACCGGGCACACCCAGGGAAGAAGAAATCTCAATTGAGGAACTGCTTCTTGTAGGTATGTCTGTGGATCATTTTCTTTATTGGTATTGCTATAGCTGGTCCAGCACATGCTGGACAATGCCATCTATAGGCGGGTGGGCATGGGCTATGTAAGAAAGGGAGCTGACTGAGCCTGGGAGCAAGCCAATAAGTAGCATTCCTCTGTGGATTCTACTTCAAGCTCCTGCCTTGAGTTCTTGTCCTGGCTTCCTTTGACAATGAACTATAGCCAGTAAGGTGAAATAACCTATTTTTTCTCCAAGTTGCTTTTGGTCACTGTGTTTGTCATAACAACAGAAAGCTAACTAGAACTGACACCATAGATATCCATATTTTTACCAGGATCAGTGAAGTTTTCTGATATTATTTTATTAAGTAGGTTCTCTACACTCTTGAGTTTTTTTCTCTTTATCTATGGATATTTTCTTTTCTTCCTTTTATCTTCAGGTATTCTAACTATTTAGATGTTTACATAAGGACAAAGCATCTGTATATTTGTATTTCAAAACAGCCATGTAGCATGATTCCTGACAGTCATTCCAGTTAGGCCAAATGATCATTACCAGCATCATCCTAAAACAGCTTTGTTTTGGGTGGGTTAACTTATTTCCTTCCTTGATCCCAGGGTTTCTTTTGAGAAAACAGTCAGTTGCTATTCCCCAGCAAACCCATTCTGTTGGAATCGTTTCACTCTGCAGCTCAGTGAAAGCTCTCTTCCCACAAGGTCTGGTGAAAGCTGTTTGACACCTGCTTCTTGTAGCAACTGAAAATTACAACTCATGATTTAATTGGAGAGCATGGCTTGGCCTTCCCAGAGGTCCTTTCTACTATGCTAATCCTGTCACTGGACTGCGGCAGATCTCTTCCTGGATTATCTGACGACTCTCAGGTGTCTTCTAGACTCCTGTTTTATCTTCACAGAAGCATTTATTTTTCATAAATGTTTATAAGTGTTTAGTTCTTTGGTTTGTTACTATTATTTTGAGAGGTCTGAGGGGTAGTTACCACACCAGAAAGACACTGGAATTTGCTGGGATTCTCTTTAACTTCTTCAGTGTTCCTATCCTCTGTGGCCTATGGTGACAGTGACTCTGACCCTACTGTGCCACTCTATCTCTGCAGAAATTTTCATTCATATCCACTATTATCTTTCCAATTTTCTGAAACTCTTTTTACTGCAATGCGCTAGGTCTCACTGAGCCTTTGCAAAGTGACCATGTTTTAAAATTCTTTTTCAGTTATTTTATACGTATCTGTTGCTTTTAGGAATTGTTATGTTCTTTTGAAAGTATCCTGTTTCACTGAGCCAAACTCTGGAATCCAGTTGTAAAGGAGGAGCGATGAACAAAGGGATCAAGACCATGCTGGGGAAACCCACAGAAACAGCTGACCTGATCATGTGGGTGTGCATGGACCCCAGTCTAACTGCTGGGGAACCAGCAGGACCAAAGCCCCTGAACATGGGTGTCAGTTGGGAGGACAGGGCAGTCTATGGGGCCTTTGGCAGTGGAACCAATATTTAGTTCTAGTGCATGAACTTTGGGAGCCCATTCCCTTTGGAGGAATACTCTCTCAGCCTAGATATATGGGGGAGTGCCTAGGCCCTGCCCCAAATGATGTGATAGACTTTGATGATCCCCCATGGGAGGCCTCACCCTCCCTGAAGAGTGAATAAGGGGTGGGATGGGGACTTGGCAGGTTGGGGCATGGGAGGATGGGAGGGAGTGGGAACTAGGATTGGTATGTAAAATAAGATTGTTTTTAATTTAAATAGAAAGTTTAAAAAAGAAACTCTAAACTATTCACCGAACGTTGTAACCGTAGTATATGATGATATCTCTTGAAACACGAAGAAGCATATAAGACAAAGAAAATATTCTAATTAATTAAAAAAAGAAAGTATCCTGTTTCATTCCCACCTCCTATATTTACCACAGGTTTTCCTAGAGCTCTTGAGTTATTTCCCTCTCATGAATTAGTGTAAGGTGCCAGTTAAGGTCTTATTGTAGCCAGGTACACACCTGTGAGCCTGTCACTTGAGAGGCTGAGGCAGGAGGAATGTGAGTTCAAACCTAGGCTAATCAGTGAGTTCTAAGACTGTTTGGACACAATAAGAACCTACCTCAAAACAACAGCAACACCCCCCCAACCCTGTTTCTCCTCACATCTTTTGAAACAAGTGAATGTGGCCAGAGAATTAAAGTGTGAGAAGAGAGCTCCTTCCTTTGAACTTAGGCAAGGATGTAGCCCTACATCACCTCTGTACTTCGTGGCTTAGTAGTTGGAAAGTGCTGCTGTGTGTGCCACGAAACACAAGAAACAAAAGGTTCTGTCCTCTACAGACTTGGGTCTTATTTTCCTCATAAGGCAGGGGTGCAGAGATGTTAAAACATCTGTGCTGGATACCTTCCCATGTTAAAACATCTTCATCATGCTAAACACCTTCCCTTCTTCTGTCCACATATCCTTAGGCATCCTCAGCTGCCAGGGTAGATGGTAGCTTTGCCTCCATTATGGTTCCATGCTGAAATAAAAACAGGACAGACAACAGAGGATGACCACTTGAGTCTGCACCTCCCTGGCCTCCCTCTTTGTAATCAACTTGCCATCCTCTATTCTCAGCCTCCCCTGTGCTGGGACCACAGCCTGGCTCCCTGCCCTTCCTTTAAGGAGTCTTCCAGAGACTAGGGCTACAGCGCCTACATATAACTGCTAATTATTGCGCCACATTCTACAGCTGCGTGCTTAGAAGTTGGAGAAGTAGGTTATATGTTCAGGTCGCTGCTTCCAAGCTGTCATTCCCCCAGCATAACACAAAACAGTAAGGTACAAATAAACAGAGATGCCAAGAGTGCATTCACACATCAGGACTGAGTTCTCCAACGAATCCAGTAACTTCTGTAGGGCCAACCAACCGTCCCTTTCTTAGAACACCGGAATCTGATCGCACCGACAGCCTTCGGGCACATCTCAGGGTCTGAGTCACATCACAGAGGTTAAGAGCAGAACAGCACTTTTGTGCTTCCAGCCATGAAAAGATTTGGGAGATAGAAGAGCTTTGACAGCAGGTGGCAGGTGTGTTACCCTCAGCACTGCTGTTGCCCAGGATCCTCCTAGAATGGCCCATCAAATTCTGCTTACAGCACCCAACTGCTTTTTTAGTCTAAAGTCCTGGAGTCTTACACATTCCTCCAAAAACCAGCAGCCCACTCTCTCTGGTACCAGTTTCTACATTAGTTACTCAAAAAGAAAAGAAAACAAACAAACAAAAACCCCCACCATGATCAAAAGCAACTTATGGAAGAAAGTTTATTTGTCTACAGTTCTAGATAAGTTCATAATGGCGAGGAAGGCGCAGCCACAGGCTGCCAGAGCGGGAAGCTGGCTGCTCACCGTTTGTTAGCACACTGGAAAGCAGAGCAAAGCTACAGACTCTCACAGCCCAAGGCTCTGTCTCCTAAAGGTTTCAGAATCTCCCCAAACAGGACCAACAGGGAACCAAGTGTTAAATAAAACACTTGAGCATATGGGGAAGATTCTCATTCAGATCACACAGCTGAGGACTGTCAGTTACACATCCTGTGTGTGAGTGAGATGTGTGAGAGACAGAGACGTAAAGACAGAAATGCAGGGCAGAGAGGCGAGCTCTGGAGCCAACGCATGCAGGCAACCGTCAAAGCAGGAAGGCGAAGGTGATGCTTTCTCTAGAAGTGACTGACTCAGAGGTCTGTTTAGCAATTGTGACTTCCAGAACACAAATTATAAATTGTACATGAGGCTAGAGAGAGGGCTCAGTAGTTAAGAACAATGGCTGCTCTCTATAGGATCTGGGTCCCAGCACCACATAGCCTCTCTCTTAACTCCAGCTCAAGAGGATCTGATGCCCTCTTGTGGCCTCCATGGGTACTGTGTGCATGTGATGAATTGACACCCATTCAGACAAAAACACCCATATGCATAAAATGAAATACCTTTAAAAAGTGTACACAGTTAACTTGTGAGGTTTTGTTTGGTTTTTGAGACAGAGTGTCATGTGTTCCAGGATGGCATCAAACTCACTATGTAGCTGAAGCTGAGGATGACCCTGAGCTTCTGGTCTCTACTTCCACAGTTCAGGGGTTATAGGATTGAGGCCCCACACTGAGTTTATGCACTGTTGGGGATACAGGCTTGAACCCGCACCGAGTTTAAGCAGAGCTGCGGGATCACACTCTTGTTCCCCTACAGGTCACCAGACAATGTGCCAACTGAGCAACAGTCTCATCCCAAATTACTGTTTTAATTGAAAAAATTATAGAAAAACAATAGGAAATTAATTCCAATTCTGGTACCTAAAAGTGCTACTGTAACAAACACCCAGAAGAGTGACAGGAGTTCACACCGGGTTAGGCAGCCGTGGGAAGCAGCTTGAGGCAAACGATACAAAAAGCCTGATTTCTTTGAACAGATTCTTGAGGAATCTGAATGTGAATAGATATGCAGAAGGACCCTATGGCACAGAGGGGTCCATGGCACAGACAGCCTGGTTCAAAATGGAGCCAGCGGGCATTAAAAACATATCGGTGGGAGTAGGAGGGGGCAGGGGTACATTCTATAAAACTCTTAAAATCAGTTAAAATATTTAAAAACAACATTAAACAAAAATAAGAAAGGAAAAGCAAAGTCCAAACAACATCCAATGCATCTCTCCTGCTCTGGCATCTAGCCCAGGCCTGGGTCTGACTGGTTTCTGATTGGCTGACCCTGAGGCTGCCTCTGCCTTCCAAAGGGAGGTTTAGCCAAGCTGGAAATACAAGTGACCCCTTCCCCCTGCCGGGGTAGGGTCGGCACCTGAAATGCACCGAAGTCTTGGTTTAAAGGCAGCACCTGCATGAGCCAGGAAACCTCAGCTCATGATTCAGACAGAAACAGAGTCACAGCAGTGTGCCCACCCAACACCTGCCAAAAGCAGACGATGAGAAACAAGGCAAGGCTTTCCTTCGTTATGACAAGAAATAAACTAGATATAAAGCTTTTAGTCCACAAAGATAAGGTAGGTAATAGAGTAGTTCCCCTAAATTTGTCAAATACAAATGGACTGGATGTTGTAAACGTAATTCTTACTTGATAACTGTTTTTGTTGCATATAATTTCACTATGTTAAAGTTAAAACCTTCCTTTTTAATTAAAGGAAAAGGGGGGAAATGCTGTGGAATAATCTTTTGTACACTATGAAGATGTGTTGCTCTCATTGGTTTAACAAAGATCCAACTGGCCAATAGCTAAACAGGAAGAATTTGAGGAGTATCGAAGTTCTGGTAGAATTCTGTGCTGAAACCTCTGGCCCTGGGCTCTTTTTGGTTGGGAGACTTTTGATGACTGTTTCTATTTCCATAGGGGTTATAGGTCTATTTAATTTGTTTATCTGGTCTTGATTTAATTTTTAATTTAATTGTCCATTTCCTTTAAATTTTCCAATTTTATAGAGTACAGGTTTTTGAAGTACAACCTGATGATTTTCTGGATTTCCTCAGTGTCTGTTGTTATGTCCCCCTTTTCATTTCTGATTTTATTAATTTGGACATCCTCTGTCTTTTGGTTAGTGTGGATAAAGTTTTGTCTATCTTGTTGATTTTCCTGAAGAACCATCTCTTTTTATCATTGATTCTTGGTATTTTTTATTGGTTTCTATTTTATTGATTTCAGCCCTCAATTTGATTATTTCAGCCATCTACTGCTCCTGGGTGAGTTTGCTTCTTTTTGTTCTAGAGCTGTCAGTTGTTCTGTTAATTCGCTAGTGTGGGATTTCTCTAGTTTCTTCATGTAGGCATTTAGTGCTATGAACTTTCCTCTTAGCACTGCTTTCATTGTGTCCTATAAGTTTGGGTATGTTTTACTGTCATTCTCACTGAATTTTAGGACGTCTTTAATTTCTTTCTTTATTTCTTTCTTGACCCAATGGTGAATCAGGTGAGCATTGTTCAATTTCTATGAGTTTATGGGCTTTCTGCAATTAGTGTTGTTGTTGACTTGTAACTTTTGGCCATAGCGATCCAATGAGATACAGGGATTATTTCAATTTTTTTGTACCTGTTGAGGTTTGCTTTGTTACCAAGTATATGATAAATTTTAGAGAAGTTTCCATGGAGTGCCAAGAAGACGGTATATTCTTTTGTGTTTGGGTGGAATGTTCTATAGATGTCTGTTAGACCCATTTGAGTCATAACATATGTAAATTTCTTCATTTCTCTGTTAAATTTCTGTCTGGCAGACCTGTCCAGTGGTGAGAGTGGGGAGTTGAAGTCTCCCACTCTTAGTGTGTGTGACTTGATATGTAATTTAAGCTTTAGTAAGGTTTCTTTTATAAATGAGGGTGCCCTTGTATGTGGGGCATAGATGTTCAGAATTGATGATGGATTTTCCTGTGATGAATATGAAATGACCCTCTTTTGACTAGCTTTAGTTCAAAGTCTATTTGTTAGATAGTAGGATAGCTACATCAGCTTGTTTATTAGGTCCATTTGATTGCAAAATCTTTTCCCAACCCTTTAATCTGAGGT